AACTGCCAACAAACACAGAAATCATTACACTTGTGTTACGTAACTGAATTCTGGATAGTTCCTCAGTTAAAAAAAACAAAGTTAGTGTTTAAGGATCAGTGAAAAACTCGAGTCACCACACGAGTCTATCCTACTTTAAAAAAAGTTTAAGTTTTAAAGAAAATCTTTGATTAATAAACATCTTGGTGTAATAATTATTTCTGCATCTAGACAAAAAGTCACACAGAAAATAGTCACGATCTAAACAAACTTAACAAGCGCTAATAAGCTAATAATCATTTCATATGTGTGGAATGTAATTAGTGGAAGCTATGACATAACTTATTGTTGAATAAGTGACTTTATGAAATGCTGAATTTAAATGTTGATTTTATATGAGTGTTCTATAGATTTCAACATTTGTATTTGGTATCATGATTGAACAGTCAGTGCAACATGGCCCATTGTTAAATAAAATACCAAATTTAATGAGCACAATAAATGATTTCAGTTTAATCCACCAGACTAACAGTTCATATTTGGAAAACAACGTTCAGAAATGTTTGAATAGTATGCAAAGTTCAATTTGAGCTCTACTTATCGGCGTTATGTTAAAACGGTCCTGAACATCCATTGTTTTAAACTTTTGTTTGTATTTCATTAGAATTAACTTACATTAAACATTATTATATAATTCCTGATATTCTATCATTCCATTTACCTCTAATTAGGAAATCGTCTGCAACAACATCAGATCACTTTTCATTAGGATTGAATCTCAATAGCATGGGACCAAATAGTCCTGTGGAACACCTCAGCTGAGTTTCCCTTCAACACTGTGAGCACAAACACTAAAGCCGAATTTATATGCAATGCCATTATGCGTCGACAAAAGAGCTCTCCAAGCCCTTTTCAGACTGACATTCTGGAACATTTGCGGACAATTCAATCCGGTTTTTAACCGGAACTGTGTTTTCAGACACACCACTTTTGTACCGGAACTTGTCCTTTCGGCTGCGTTCACACAGCAGGGAAAAGTTCCAGATGTCTGACGGCGGCGGGGGGTGGTGGGGGGAGAGAGAATCGGACTCATGTTAAGAAGAAGAAGAAGAAGAAGAAGAAAATATCATTTCTATAGCGCCTCTCAAGATAAAAATCACGAGGCGCTTAAGCATAATTCTGCGCACACGAAGATGCATAGGAGACCTGGATGATGAAGCTCAATGGTTAAAGGAATCACTGAAGCGGTGTGAAGCGCTCCGTCGCGCGTCTAGACTGTACCGTAGGAGGCGAGCTGCCGTGGTTCGCCGCATGCTACAGCAGCGGGCTGTATAGGTGCGCACAGCGTCCTCCGGTCCCCTCCTCCTCCCCCTCCCTCTTGTCCGGAACTTTACCTCACCAGTCTGAAGCAGCCACCCTGTCCGTAACAATTCCGGACCTGTTACTAGGGGCTTCGTCCGGATAAATTCCGGAACACGTTATCCGGATGTTTGTATTCAGACAGAAAGGTCTTTCGGACAGAGTCCTGAACATTTCCGTTTTTCATGGCCTGTCTGAAGGGGGCTCAACGGGCTCACAGAGGGTGATGGAGACATTCCCCAATTTTCAACTATCCGTCGAAAGAGACGGAAGCTTGTGATTGGTCAGGATACCGCTTCCTGTATATTCATCAACAGCTCCGCCTTTTCCCCCTTAAAAAATAAAAAGATGTTTAACTGCAAACACAGAACAGATTGAAGAACGCATCGCGGAAAAAGTCTGAAAATATCAACGTTTATTCACCCGTGACTGAAGGAGTACAACAATTTGCAGCAAGCATTTTATTCGTGGACGGAAAAGACGAGAAATGTGGGTTTAAAGTTGCAGATCGCGTGAAGAGGTGGAGAGGAATGAGGGACGAATGTATTTGTGTTAAAAAATCTATGAAATACATTAAAACAATGTAAACACAATCGTAGATACATCGTTGTGAACCGGATACGTGACTGTAATGGTGGCAGGATACCTCAATTTAGCGCTACGCCCTCTGTCGTCCTGGCGTTGGAATTGTTTTGCAACAATACCCGGCTGACGGAGAAATCCGAGAGCAAAACGTCTGTGTCAATGCGTGATCGTCTCTCCGTCTGACGGACAAGTCTAAATTAGGCCTTACTCAGTAAGCGATGGTAATGCACCATGAGGTGAATGCGAGCCACTTAAAAGAGAAACGGCAGACCATGTGAAGTAATGATTTGAACAAAGTATTAATTGTGTGACTAAGCAGCAGGAAGCAGAGAAGGGCCTATGTCAATAGTGTGGAGGTATTTCCAGGTGAACTAACCCCGGGTTTCCACAGGAGCTGTCAGCAGCACGTTACTGCAGCAGCACGTCTTGCTCGCGTAAGCTGCTGCTTGGCCCTTCCCACGAGACGCGAAGCAGCAGGGGAGCAGCTGTCACCGACCGAGCACGAAGTCACACGAGTGACTTCGTCAGTAAACACAACAACAAGCAGGGGAAAACTACAACATGGTTTGTGTTTTATGTTCTGTCCGTTTTATAATCGCCAATACGGACCTGAAAAACAAAGGAGACCGCTAGCTAGGTGATAACTTCTCACGGGGACGCACAGTTAGTAACCTTTTTTAAAAGTAAAGCAACTGGAAAGCAGTACGTTCTTTATTCTGAAAATCTCGGGAGCTTCTCTCCATTTCCGCGTCCGATTTCCTGTCTTTCCTTCACCAAAAATGTCGAACTTGACCCGTTTCAGAGGCGTCGCGCGTAGAAAATAGAACCGGCGCGTAAAGGCAGCGACATGCTGCTCCTGAGACGCGGCCGACTCGCGCTGCTGACGGCTTCAGTGGAAAAGGTTCTGTTGACCACAGCGGTTCCTATCAGCAGCTATGACGTGCTGCTGACGGCTCCTGTGGAAAGCCGGGGTAAGGCAAAATGAGCGAGGCAGCAAAATGGTTATAATGTATTTTCTATGGTTCAGCTTAATGCTTGGACAGTTTGGTGATGTCGGTAACACGTCATTACCACTTTTTCCAGCGACCACCAACCTAACTGAAGGAACTGGACTCAATGCATCAGGGCACAACGTTTTATCACTGCTCTCTGTACACAGCAGCTTCTTTGCCCTTTCTGTATACTCACAACTTTACTCATTAGATGTCTTTTGTTTTTAAGTCTCTCCTCGACCGGAGCCCTACTTTGCCAAGTGTGTATCTGCAAAACAGTCAAAACTGTCCTGGTCTGAGTTCTAGTGATGCCACCCTAGAACCAGATTAAAATTGGGTTAAAGAGCTTTTAATGTTTTTGCTCCAGCTTATTAGAGTAACCTTCAGAATGAATGAAAACTGAAATGATTTCACTGGGTCAGTTTACAACACTTTTGAGATCAAGAAAAAGATTATAACAGCTTTACACATTATGATCCCAAACGTGCTTTAATGAAAGCATATTTAACTGCTGTTTGCTGTAATTCACGATTTTGTGTAACTCCTTGTGTTATTTTCATCCTGCATTCCTGGACCAGGTCATTCTTGCAAACGAGACTCGACGCTTCAATGAGTCTTTCACCTTGTAAAAAGGAAAAATAATAAATATCATGCCAGTATTTCCCAAACAGTAGCCCGAATAAAGTCACTGTGTGTTCCCGTTTTCTCGATTCTCCATAGTGAAAAGATTTGTTAGCTTTATTTTTGTGTGTCCGTGAGTAGTGTGGAGGATTGTTTGGGGAAGTAAAACACGTTCTACCTAAAATGTTAGGAAAAAAGATGTGGCTGTTAGTTTAAAAGATTCAGTGTTAAAATAACACTGGTCACGTTTACATGGGCACAATTAATCAGATCAATAATTCTGCATGTAAACATGTCAGTCGGAATGTTCTGATCCAATTCGGCCCGATCAGAATGAAATTTCAATTCAATTGAGAGAGGTGGTTTTCTCCGATCCTCATTCCGATCGACGTGCATGTACACAGCCATTCGGATTGTTGGAGTAAAAGAACGCCCACTGCACACGTGTGCAACAGCTAGCGAGTCTCCCCATCGTCGTTTGGACTAACTGACTTAAAAAATGACGGTCTAATTAATGAGTGCCGGCTTTTAAATATGACAGCAAGCCGTTCCCGTTTCTGTAATATCTAATCCAGAATAAAATAAAAATCTGATTACTGCACAAATCATTCGACAAACATGTTCTAGTCTGTACTGGAAACACGCAGATTCATTGCCGGTTAGCAGCATGGATCCCTGTTTCTGTGAACGCAGCAGCTGTTTCTGCAGTAGGTGGATGGGGACGTGCTCTTAAAGAAGACAGGGTGACATCAGTTAAACACACCTGGTTTGAGTTTAAGGAGGCTGATGTTGGGTATAAACACATCCTCAGTTAAATATTCTGAGTGACTATCTGTGTAAAAGCACGCTAACGCAGATGAGATGCGCTTCACTTATGAACACATGATGAACACAGGCTTCCAAACTTTCTGAACATCTCCTGTTATTTAGTTTGAACCATTTTTTCTCCACAGTTTCAGCTGACTGTCATGTTTTATTATAATAAACAGAGCTCAGTAATAAAACACGAGTCTGAGTCCTTTGTTTAGCATTGGCATGCTATAGCTAGTGTCGCTGTACAGTGACATTTAGGATTTAAATGTATCATTTAGATTCACAGATAAATTAGACCAATCAATGCAAAGAGAGTCAGTAGCAGTTTTACTATAATTGTTCACCAAAATCAACTTATTCATAAAAAAAATCTGAAATAATAAAACAAGTAATTGAACATTTTGAGACAAGAGTTCTGTGAAACAAAAACTGAAAGAATAATTAGGAACAAATCATGATTTTGAGAAGAGACTCGCAAGCGCTCAACGTAAGCAGCTGTAAACTAAAGGTTTGGGTGCAAAACACACAAATGCATCAAAAACATAACCTGTTTAAGGTGCAGGACAACAACAAACATGAGTAGGAACAGAAAAAACACAACAAACATCTCACCCAAGGGGTTCAAGCCAAGCAAGAAGCAGCAGAACTTACCTTATAGAGACGAAAACAGAGATGGACAGATGTCCAGTCAGAGGGCAGCCTTTCTCTCTTCCAGCCTGAGAGGTAACGTGGGACAGACGGAGAGAGGAAGACACCTCAGAAGCAAGAGTGAAGGAAAAAACACAGAGAGGCTTGTCAGAGAAGCAGCAGCAAGCAGTTAAATGATGTCCCCCTGCTGTAAGGCTCGGTGCTGGCTGGAGGGTGGCACATACCGGAGGTCACGGTGAAATGCCACACATGTAGTCTGTGGTGAAAACTTAATGACGCCTCCAGAGACCAGCAGGGCCTTGCAGAGGGGCTCAGAGCAGCTAGTTCACATTTATGTTAATATATGTAACAGGTTATAAAAGGATCAGGCACCACAGAAACATACACACTGTTATGGAATCAATGTTCCCATCAGGACTTGGAGAAATGCTGCCAGCAGCTCAACATGCTGCTGGTCTAACTAACAAGCAATCAAGGGACAGTCCTTAGGATGAGACAGGTGGAAATGAACACAGGTCACAGGGAGAGGAGGAGCAGCAAACTCCACACCGACTCACACAGCTTTATTCCCACACACACACACAGTTGTTTTCTGACCAGAACCACAACAGTGCAGCTAAACTGGGCTAGCACCGCCTCCCACCAGCCTGGAAAGAACCCTACAGCTGTATCAACGCTGCATGCTGCAGACAACAGGGATTAATCTGCAGATCCTGCTTCTCATCCTGCTCGCATCTGGCCTAACAAAGCTGCACATTCCTGCAGAAATGTGCAGCAATGTGATTTATTGTGATTTTATCAATGCAACTATTTTCATAAAATCTGAAGATTTTAATTTGTTTTGTATAGAAATATACAAAATAAATGAAAATGTTTCCCAGAATGCAGAAATATTGGTTTATTTTCCGTGTCTTTTAGAAGAAACATACTCAGATTTTGGTCATTTTGGGAAGTTTTATACTTTAAAAAAATCTATAACCTATCTGAAACACATAAAAATGGCAGATTATTTTGGCTTTTGTCGCTGAAGTTTCTTTGCTTTATTTTTTTAAGCAATTAAAATGTCACTTGAACCATCAAATTCATCAAAAATATATGAAAAAAACTTGTTCTAATCATCAAATATCCAGTATAATATCTAAGGTATTTGTATTTAATTGATCTAAAAATAGTTGAAGATGTGACGTAACTGCACAGGAGCACTCTGAGAAATGCTGCTAACCAATCACCTGAATGCATTTTTCATTTTTTCTTTTGGGTTTGAGCCAATCAGAGAAGAGATGACAGACTGGGTAGAGGTTAAAGGGGTTTTAGAAGCAAACCTTTAGGGTTTAAACCTAATCTGAAGAAAACTTGTTCATACCGACCTAACGCAGCAACCAGGGCAGCTTAGCGGTTTCCAACATCACAGCATCGTTGTGCAATCAGAGGACTGACAAATGCATCTGTGGCTTCAGCTAAATGTTCTGCTAGTTCTGCATTTTCTTGGGACACAAACATCGATTCGGCTAATTGACTAATTCTGCTGTTGGCTTACAATCAGAACAAACGAGTAGCAACAAAGGGAAGGAGAAATCCTTCAACTGTGGACGGTGTTCAAAAGGATTTCTCCTAATTTGTTTCTAATTGTTGAGCCAGCGATTAAAAACAACAGCTGTGAATCGGAAACATTCCATACTCGCAGCAAACATGTTGGACGTCTCGTTTAGCACTTTCTGTTCACCAGTGATGGAAGTAAAAAACCTTAATCATTCACTTTCATTTTTTAAGAAGCACTTTGCATCAGCACAAAGTGGCAGTATACCCTCGACTCATTAGTCCTTTAGTCCGACCGTGAATCAACAACTTCACTGGTAACCAGACTGAATGTCTCCAACTACTTCTGTTCAAGTGTGAAGCCAAAAGGTCTCGTTCAACAGGAGTCCTGCCCACTGCCTCACACACGAGCGAGGTCATTAATGCATTAAACAAATATATACAGCACAGAAAAATCTGGAAAATTTATATTTGAACATATGGCTGACCGGGGTGGTGGTTCCCTTATTATTTAAAAAAGGGGGACCGCAGGGTGTGTTCCAACTACAGGGGGATCACACTCCTGAGCCTTCCTGGTAAGGTCTATTCAGGGGTTCTGGAGAGGAGGGTCCATCGAATTGTCGAACCTCAGATTCAGGAGGAGCAATGTGGTTTTCGTCCTGGCCGTGGAACACTGGACCAGCTCTATACCCTTAGGGGGATCCTAGAGGGTGTGTGGGAATCTGCCCAACCAGTCTACATGTGTTTTGTGGATTTGGAGAAGGCGTTTGACCGTGTACCTCAGGGGGCCCTGTGGGGGGTACTATGGGAGTATGGGGTACCAGGGCCTCTGATATGTGCTGTTAGGTCCCTGTATGACCTGTGTCACAGCATTGTCCGCATTGCCGGCAGTAAGTCGGGCTCGTTCCCAGTGACAGTTGGACTCTGCCAAGGCTGCCCTTTATCACCGATTCTGTTCATAACCTTTATGGACAGGGATTCTAGGTGCAGCCAAGGTGTGGAGGGCATCCGTTTTGGTGGCCTGAGGATCAGGTCTCTGCTTTTTGCAGATGATGTGGTCCTGTTGGCTTCATCAGAACGTGATCTTCAGCTTTCGCTGGAGCGGTTCGCAGCCGAGTGTAAAGCAGCTGGGATGAGAATCGGCTCCTCTAAATCCGAGACCATGGTCTTGATTCGGAAAAGGGTAGAATGCCTTCTCCGGGTCAGGGATGAGGTCCTGCCCCAAGTGGAGGAGTTTAAGTATCTCGGGGTCTTGTTCACGAGTGAGGGAAAACTGGAGCGTGAAATCGATAGGCGGATTGGTGCTGCATCTGCAGTGACGCGGGCGTTGTACCGGTCTGTCGTGGTGAAGAGAGAGCTGAGTCAGAAGGCGAATCTCTCGATTTACCGGTTGATCTATGTTCTTACCCTCACCTTTGGTCATGAGCTTTGGGTAGTGACCGAAAGAACGAGATTGCGGATACAAGCGGCCGAAATGAATTTTCCCCACAGAGTGGCTGGGCTCTCCCTTAGAGATAGGGTGAGAAGCTCGGTCATCTGGGAGGGGCTCGGAATAGATTCGCTGCTCCTCCACATCGAGAGGAGCCAGTTGACGTGGCTCGGGCATCTGGTCAGGATGCCTCTTGAACGCCTTCCTGGTGAGGTTTTCCGGGCACGTCCAACCGGGAGGAGGCCTAAAGGTAGACCCAGGACACGGTGGAGGGACTATGTCTCTCACCTGGCCAGGGAACGCATTGGTATTTCCCCAGAAGAGCTGGCCCAAGTGGCTGGGGAGAGGGAAGTTTGGGCCTCTCGATTTAGGCTACTACCCCCGCGACCCGACTCCGGATAAGTGGATAAAAATGGATGGATAGCAGCAAGGTGATTTAAGAGTAAACATCTGGACAAATCTGAGGTGTCAGATTAGCTCTGACTCTGAATTACGTCCCTACAGCCAGTCTGTTTAAGTATATGCAAAACATTATAAACAGGCACAGGAACATAATGCAAAAAAAAAATTCAGCTGACGCAAGGGGAGAGTCTCCTACTGGCTGGCTGCAGTATGAGCTTTCGGCCCCGCCCCCTTACATGTAAACAAATTAAACATTTTATAGAAAGAAAAATAAAATCAGCCTAGAAAGTATTCAAGGTGTTACCTGAAATAATTCACATCATTCTTATCCTGTTGCTGTGTGTTCAAACATTATATTTTGGGTTGGTGGGTAGGCCACAATCTGGCAGCTCTAGTAAATGTGACCTTTAGGATTCACTTTTGAAAGAAGAAGAAGTTGACAAAGACCAAATGTCCGTCTTTTGTATGTTTGTTCTGTGTTTAACTTCGCCCTTATTCATATTCAGGTTTTTAACTGGAAAAAAGTCAAAGAAAAAAACTGCTGTAGAGGAAATAAAATAAGGAACAACCAAGAATAACAATCACTTCTTGGAAAATATGGGATGAATAAAGATATCAAGTAGACCTGGCTGACATTGGGCCCCTCAACCCCAACTCTATACTACATGCACACAATTAAAAGTAAATAATTACAAACCATTTACAGTCATAATGAGTCAAAGAGGTCTGCCTCTTACACAGAGTTTTGATTGTTCTATAGGGTTTGTTATTGGGATATTATAAAAGGTATTTTTACAAATATGATCTTAGTATCCCCCATGACCCGATAAGGGGCTGAAAATGGATGGATGACCTCACAACCTCGCCATAGACAAAATTATGAGGACCCCCTTGGGGGTCAACGCATCCTAATTGGGAACCATTGGGTTTGTTCCCGCCCCCTAGTGGTGAAAACTGGTATTAGCTAAAGCCACTTTAACGCTCCTTATCCTCATTTCTATTTACACGATTTCCTGGGAAAAAAAACAACGAACTAATTCATTGAATAAACCATGATAAACTCGATGGGTGCTTGTTTCCAGCTTTCAGGTTTTCTGGGTGACAGCATGTGAGGCAACAGCATGCAGGTGAGGTCACTTACCTGTTTGGATCCTCTTTGCAGGAACAGTTTAAATGAAACGCAGAGTCGTCCTACAAGCTGCCTCTCCTCCTGTCTGAACCACTTCTGTCCAAAGCAAACACCGATATTCCTCCTGAAACACCGACTTAGCTTCCTGTTTTAAAACTGCGACATCCTCCCGTCTCACTCCGCGGTGAGTCGCTGCCCTCCTTCGGCCATTAACACCAAATGTTACCAATAAAAAATCACTCCTTTCTGCTCTTCTTGGTGAAAATAAAGTTATACTTCCGGTGCGGGACGTGGATATAGAAGGTAAAGTGTGTGTTTCCTCCTGAGGAGGATCAAATGTAGTCTCTCCCACCGCGATGCCTGCTGGCGTGTCTGTAATCAGATGCTCCTCACGGCATAGCCATTCATCCTATTACACGGTTAACCCCTCACTGTCTGCGCCCTCTTCGTGCTGCCCTACAGGACGCTGGGTAAAAACGCTTTCTGTGGAACACCTTTTCAATTTCGCCGAATCTCACTTCAAAATAAAGTTCAATAAAACAAAACAATAAACAACTTAAATATAAAAGTAACTGAATGCAGTTAGTTTAAATTGTAAAATAAAAATATAAGGAAAAGCACAATTTCTCACAGAATTAAAGTATAAATATTTATCTCTTAAAAACTGTACAAATTGTGTTGCAAATTTTTAAAACAATCAAAATGGCATTTTTAAATGGCTTTACTTTATACATATGTAAGCAAATAAATCTTTGTAAATTTTATTGAGTATTAGTAAAACTACTTCTATAATTTAGCCTTTTTATATTCAACTGCAGCTATATTACAATACTTAGTCATGTGTCTAAGAAATGGCTTTTAATACATTTTCACATTTTTACAAACCACTTAATAGGATTATCAACTTGTTTCCATAAAGAAAAGCAAAACAAACAATCCAAACAGGGTTTAAAATCATAAAAATATAGTACTCCAAAATCTACCATCACAACCATATTTATCTTTTTTTCTGATTTCCAGGTTTAGCTTTTGGTAAAGAGGTTGATGTTATTAAAACATGGAGGATAAAAGCTGGACCTGAACACATCCATAATCCACAAACAGGAGGACAAACACCAAGTAAAGCATACATCAGTGAAAGACAAAACATTTCAGTGCAGTGCAGTTTTCAACCTTTGCATTAATAATAAAAAGAGCTTCCCTCAGGTTTTAGGCTGAAAATGTTTCTAGTCAAACAACAGCAGGAAAAATATTACATATCCCCTCTGACGTTATTAAAGAGCAAGTCACCCCTTACAAGAAGCGTACTTCATGTTTGACAAATGCAACAAATGCTGTTGCCTAGCAGACCGAGAGGGTCTAACAAATACACACTCACGACATTGTGACATCATAATGTACCAGTTTACATCATAGAATACCTCTTAGCCAATAGCGGTGGCAGATTTAAATTCAAATGCAGTGAAGTTTTTACCTGACAACGGCACAACACTGACAGTTTCAGGCAGAAAATTTAAATTTGAACTAAAATGCACTAAAGTGCAACACTATTGACTACACATGTCTGCAGCACGATTAGACACGCATTTATATAGTTTATCAGAAAAAAATAGTTGATTTGGGGGTGACTTGCTCTTTAAGGAATTCATTTATACTCTTATTTATGTAAAGCTGCTACAGGTTCATTCAATCCAGCAGAAGTCACTTTTATAAATTTAGTTTTTATTTTAACTTAGAAGAAAGAAAAAAAAAAAAGAAAAAAAATATTCCTATGTTTATCAGCGCTTTCACTCTAACCTTTGGTAACAGTCTAAACGTTTAATCAGCAGGATTTGAGGATCATTCAGAGTGCACTTCAGGGTTTCACATGCCCAGATTTAAAGATGGCCTCCCACAGAAGCATCGACGGTGCCGTCACCGCTCCTCAGCTAGCAGCGACCTGAAGTTCTTCAGCTCTCTGATGCTTGTGGAAATCCTGAAAGACATTTACACAAAAGCCCAGAACCCCGATGAGCAGCGGACAGGTGGTTTTTAACCTGAAGTTGACTGATACCCACCTTCCGAAGGCGTTGAGCAGGGAGACGATCTCCTGCCGGTTGAGCTGGAAACTCGGTCGATTCTCGCTGGATTTGGGCAGAGCTTCAATCTGTCGCTCTGAAAACAGGATCTTCAGCGCTGTGCCTAATCCCTGAGTCTGGTGATGGGAAAGGTTCGCATCACAACACCAACATGCTTATTCTGTATTATTGGAAACATCTAATCTTTATCCTTACAGCATGTTAATGCCGTGAACATCAATAATCCTGCAGCACAACTAAAAAATTACCCATTTGTAAACGTGCTTTGGTCGCCCAATAATCACTCTTTATAAATCTCCACATAGAGCTTTTGAAAACAGCAGCTTTGAGACGTATTTTGTTGTGTCAATCTGATTTCTAAAACCTTTCCAGAACATCAAGTGGATTCCTACCTGCAGTTTCCCCCACAGGCGACATTTAAAGCAGCCCACACAGTCCATGATCCTGGAGATGTTGAGGAAAGCCAGTCTGATGTCCTCCTGACAGGTGAGGCCATAACGACATAAAGAATAAACACCAAAATGCAGATTCAAACAGAGCATGTCCCGGTGATCCTAAAAAATATACTAGGTTGTAAAACAGCCCCCCCTGCTGGTCAAACTAAAGAGACAGGACTTTCCTTCCCAGCTGTGTGATGGCATTGGGACTAAAAAAAAAAGGGGGGGATTCTGACCTTCAGTTTAGCTGCTTCCTTCTCATCTCCAGCAAAGAGAGAGGTCTCATCAAAGTGCAACGGAAAAGATCTGGAGCAACAAATAAATGCGGTGATTAGCTGCACCCAACCTTTAAAACAAAAACTACATTCTAACTGCTGCGTATCGACTTTTCATTCTCAGACCGACCTGGCTACCTGCAGGATGTCCAGCAGCATCTCTTTGTGGTTCTGGTCCTCCTCCGCTCGGCCGGTGTAGAGCCGAAAGGACGGCTGCTGGAAGAACGGCAGGACTTTGGCCAGCGCTCGCAGCTCTATCAGGTAGAGGAAGTAGAGGTTACGGAGCCTTTTGGGGCCCTCGCCGGCCGTTAGCTCAGAGTCAAAACGCTGCTTGAACTCAGACACGTTGTGGCCCCACTTCCTCTGATACCAGCTGTCTGAAGGAGGACACGGTTACCACGGTGAGATGGAAATAACACAACAGAGGGAGAAAGAGGGGCAGCTGTGTGTGCCTCACCATCCAGGAGATATCTGGCACTCAGGTGAACGTTGATGCTGGCGTGGAGGCCGGAGATGAGCCGGTAGAACGCTCTCTTCTCCACACACTGACCTGGGAAAGAGAGTGGCTCAAAACTGGACCAAAGTCCACAACCACTGCAGGTGAAGAGGCAGCTTACCTTCCAACCAGCTGTAGAAGGTCCTCGCTGAGAAGAATACCTGATCAGTCAAGTCTTTTGTGATTGGATGAAATGTGAAGCACTGCTTACCTTCACTTCCTGAAGTGCACTGGAATGAGTTGGGAAGGACAGGTCGCTTGATGGTGAACGGTCTGTGAGTGGAACAAACGTGCAGTTATCATCCGTTTGTTACCACTTTCCCAGAGTTGGTGAGAACATGAAGTTCTTAAGAAACCGAAGTGTTAAATGTTAAACACACGAACGATCCCGAGTTACTCTGTCTGGATTTATCATTGAGTCGATAAAACCCACTCACCGTGTGTTTTGGTTTTAGCTTAGCCTAGCTAAATAACTGCCCTTTCTCACGCTTAGAGGTCGTTGTAGGTTATATTTAAGACCTGGGACTCGTACATATGCTTATGCCCTCATGCCAGGGAGCATTTTATGCACCTGTACCCTAGTTTAAAGGGTCCACACGTCACATTTTTCTTCACGCCCACAAATACAGACATGATATTTGTGTGAAACTAGAACCGAGACTTTACTTTTGCTTTACTTTATTTATAAAACCCCTTCCATAGCCCGAGCTGCTGAACACAAAATCTGTAATATACCATTTATCAACAGATTAATTAAAAATGTTCGAAATTCACCTAAAATGGAAATTGTGAACATAAAAAAAACTGTAAAAACAATAAAAATTAGGACAATGATGCCAAGCTACCTCATTTAGTGAGCTAAGACATAAAAGCAGGTCTTCAGATGGGACTTAAAAACCAACAGTGAAGGGAGACTGAAACTTGTACCTTAAGATTTGTAACTTCTATTTTGAGACTTGTAAATTCAAATCTGTACTCTAAAGAATGAGTGCAAGTTACAAAACAAGCTACAAGTCTCAAAGTGACAATGTGTAGTTTTTACCATTAATCTCTGGAAATATCCATCGAAATGAAAATTAATTAAAAGATGCCAGGCTCTTGAAAAATATTAGCAGCTTCATAACATCCATCCATCCATTTTCTGAACTCGATTGTCCACGTAGGGTTATGGGGGAGCTGGTGACTATCTCCAGCGGTCAATGGGCAATCATGCGGGGTACACCCTGGACAGAGAGCCAGTTTATGGCTTCATAACATATAACCATAAAAATCTGTTCTAAAATAAATGGGAGTCGGTCCAAGCCTCTGGGCGACGCCATATTGGATGCCATGTTTCCTTCTACGGAAGTCTGCAAGGACAAAATGCATTTACTGATTTGTAACAAATGGTTACAAAACTGTCACCATTAATAAATGTTGTTGCTTTACACATTTACCTCTTCACTCATTGCCAGTGGTGAAAGGGAATCTGATGTTCTTGTTATTTTGCCAGAGATTGCGCTTCCAGGGATTTTTGACCCTAATGGCCATCTGTTGGTAAGGTCTTACTCTGACACATAAATACTGCTTGGTTGCAATCATTTAGGTATAAACAGGTCCTTCTAAAAAAATTTGCATATTGTGATAAAGTTCATTATTTTCTGTAATGTACCGATAAACATTAGACTTTCATATATATTAGATTCATTACACACACCTGAAGTAGTTCAAGCCTTTTATTGTTTCTAATATTGATGACTTTGGCATACAGCTCATGAAAACCCAAAATTCCTATCTCAAAAAATTAGCATATCATGAAAAGGTTCTCTAAACGAACTATTAACCTAATCATCTGAATCAATTAATTAACTCTAAACACCTGCAAAAGATTCCTGAGGCTTTTAAAAACTCCCAGCCTGGTTCATTACTCAAAACCGCAATCATGGGTAAGACTGCCGACCTAGACACAGAAAGAAATTTCTGAACAAATAGGCTGTTCCCAGAGTGCTGTATCAAGGCACCTCAGTGGGAAGGAAAAAGTGTGGCAGAAAATGCTGCACAACGAGAAGAGGTGACCAGACCCTGAGGAGGATTGTGGAGAAGAACCGATTCCAGACCTTGGGGGACCTGTGGAAGCAATGGACTGAGTCTGGAGTAGAAACATCCAGAGCCACCGTGTAAAGGTGTGCGCAGGAAATGGGCTACAGGTGCCGCATTCCACAGGTCAAGCCACTTTTGAACCAGAAACAGCGTCAGAAGCGCCTGACCTGGGCTACAGAGAAGCAGCACTGGACTGTTGCTCAGTGGTCCAAGGTACTTTTTTCAGATGAAAGCAAATTTTGCATGTCATTCGGAAATCAAGGTGCCAGAGTCTGGAGGAAGACTGGGCAGGGGGAAATGCCAAAATGCCTGAAGTCCAGGGTCAAGTACCCACAGTCAGTGATGGTCTGGGGTGCCATGTCAGCTGCTGGTGTTGGTCTACTGTGTTTTATCAAGGGCAGGGTCAATGCAGCTAGCTATCAGGACATTTTGGAGCACTTCATGCTTCCATCTGCTGAAAAGCTTTATGGAGATGAAGATTTCATTTTTCAGCACGATCTGGCACCTGCTCACAGTGCCAAAACCACTGGTAAATGGTTTACTGACCATGGTATTACTGTGCTCAATTGGCCTGCCAACTCTCCTGACCTGAACCCCATAGAGAATCTGTGGGATATTGTGAAGAGAAAGTTGAGAGACGCAAGACCCAACACTCTGGATGAGATTAAGGCCGCTATCGAAGCATCCTGGGCCTCCATAACACGTCAGCAGTGCCACAGGCTGATTGCCTCCATGCCAAGCCGCACTGAAGCAGTCATTTCTGCAAAAGGATTCCCGACCAAGTATTGAGTGCAAAACTGAACATAATTATTTAAAGGTTGACTTTTTTTGTATTAAAAACACTTTTCTTTTATTGGTCAGATGAAATATGCTAATTTTTTGAGATAGGAATTTGGGGTTTGCTAAGAATCATCAATATTAGAAACAATAAAAGGCTTGAACTACGTCAGTTGTGTGTAATGAATATTATATGAAAGTTTAATGTTTATCAGTACATTACAGACAATAATGAACTTTATCACAATATGCTAATTTTTTGAGAAGGACATGTCGCCAGGAAAAATACACACTGTTACTTTAAAAATGGAGTTTTAAAGCGGTAGTGTGTGGTTTCCTGGCACTAGGGGGCAGTATGTACATTTCAGGGTAATTTTACACCATATATGTCGCTAGTTTAAAAAAACATTACGGTAAATGTTGTCACCTGTGGAGCAGAAAGCACGCAACCTCGGCATGATTCCTCTGACTTTGATGGTCCTTTAGTTAATTCCATCAAGAGAATGCAATGCCCATTGTAGTTTTCTGGCGCTGTAGTCTGTGGTCCTGCGCCTGCTGATGATGTCATCATACTACGGCAATACCACTCAGCCAAAATATATTACATCTTTTTTTAATTCTGTTCTTTCCCATATGTTTTAGAAAGAGTTTAGCAGTTTTGTTCTTAAATTCATGTTTCCTACTACCTAAATGTTTTTGAACGTGGCAACTTCTGTAAGTCGTACATCTAGCCAATCATCTAGTGTGATGTCATTGACAGGCGCAGGACGTTGAGCCGGCCAGAAGGAAACAAGGCATCTAAGAATGCTACTCAAAGATGCTAGACCTCTGTACTTCAGACCCAATTTTTATGGTTATACAGTATGTTTTGAAGCCACCAATATTTTTCAACAACTGGACATCACTTGATTCATTTTCAACAACGTTCCGATGGACTTTTGAGAGATTACCTGTGAACACTACACACAGTCTCTTTAAGGCACAACTGCAGTCTGGACTCTAATTCCATCATCGTGAAGCGAGGCTAATCACACATGCAGGGTAAAATTAGCTTTATTTATTTATTGCATATTTTATCGGAGACGTGTCAAAGGGAGGTGAAACGTATTGACAGGGAGGTTCAAAAGAAATAAACCCAGATCAATGTGTACTTGTGGATTTGTTGAATTCCACATATTGCTGTATATGAGGCCCCAAAGGATTTTAAAACATCCTGAAATGCAAAATTAAAGGTGTGGTTCACTTGTTTAATCAATACATTTGCAGTGGCCTCTGGTAGGAATGGATGCCTTGTAAGTCCTGGTACTCCTGTTTCAGGTTCTAAAAGATTGCCAGACCAGAGGAGAGCTTCAGATGACAGGATTTGGAGTCTTACTTCCTGATATTTGGACATCTCATCTCTGATTGGATAACAGCAATGTGACTCTACCACTGAATTTGAAACGTTGATGTTTTATCTCCACTAATAACATAAACCTGGATTTTTGCCATGTGGTGGAGTTGCTAACGCTAACGGTAAGCTTTTACTAGCTGAAACGTTCTCTGCTGTTTCCTGGATGCTGAACCAACAACAGCCTTCTTCGTCGTGAGTCAAGATGGGTGAGTCCATGAAAGCTAAGTGACGGTGTGATGTAGATCTGTCAGAATTTTCAAATCCTAGAGTTTCACTATCTGTTTTCTATCAGAAGCTAATGCAGGAGATAGGTGTAGGAGATTATTTTCATGTTCAGTCTGCATGAAAACCTCAGAATAAACAATTATAATCAGAAATAGTCCTAAAAAATGTTGCTGTATATTTTTTGTGTTGTGAACCACACCTTTACAAGTGTGAATCTATTTTTCATAGCTGTTGTATCTAAGCTGACTTGTAGAAATGTGTTTGGGTCTACTTGAAGCAGTTCTCCTCATAGATGCTGTTCCAGATCTGCCATGCCTCTGGTCCTTTGTAACCCGTGTAGCGCTCAGGGTTCAGCAGCAGGTCCACGTACTGGGAGTCAGGCGACTCCTCGTCTGGGAAATGACGACACTTTAGTCAGCAGCTGGTCACAACGAGGCCATTTGTTTATGTGAGACTCAGCTACATTTACTGGAGAGTAAGGTGTTAGCAGAATGATATAAAACATCTTTGTCAAACAAGTTTTATGTTTACAAAACACATTTTTAATCTTTGACAGGCACATTCTAAAAAACATCCTTTAAATTTCCAGACCTGCAGGTCCATTACTCTGCTCTAACGTTATTCATGGATGTGTTTGTTTATTTGTAATCAGCTGATAAACTGAACCATACCGTCCACCACGCAGAACCGCTCTGCCTCGTCATCGTGTTTGTTCCAGTCCAGCAGAGCCTCTCGGGTCTCGTCGCTGAAAACCAAAACAGAGGTCCAGTTCAACGCATGATATGTGAGATGAAATCTGTCCGTTTGTGGCATCAGAACAAGGATTGGATACCGCTGTAGTTTCAGATCACACATAAACACATTTGTACAGTTAGAGCAGAATTTCTTAGCCTGAAATAGGACTTCTACAGATGCTGGATGATACAGGTACAGCTTTTTCAGTGGTATAATTATAGGGATGGTGTGTTCATAAGGTTGTATCCCTATAATGCACTGATCTATAAAGATAATCACACATTCTGGTTTGGTTCTGACCCACCTTAAAGACACATCTACAGCTCCAAGATGCTTCGCCTGCTCACATTCTTCCAGCTCCTCGTTTGCTGCTTTTGAATACTGAACACAGGAAAATGTTTAACCACGGTCGTAATATTACAACATCAGATTTAAGTCTACAAAAATAAACCTTCCCCATTTTTTTTCTTTTTAAAACCACATTTACATTGCTAATAGGTCCTATTGTTCAGTTCTGCAACACTATTGGCTGTTAAAATGTGTAAACAGGCCCGTTTATCTGGCCGTGAAGTCAACAACCCGAGAGCCTGCTTTGGAGAACATCATCTTGTAGTTTTCAACAGGAGAAATCAAGACTCAAGTAAGTAAAAAGCTTTATTTTTTTTCTGTGATAATTGATGTGTGTAGATCATGCAGATTTTATGACATCATTGAATATACTGATATTGTGAGATTTTGAGCTTGTTTTGTCCATGTTGTAATTTTACAACAGTGGGTCTTAGGAGCAGCAAAAGCTGGGTGTGCACCCTGCACTTGAGGGAGTTTACTTTCCACTTGTTTAATGGTGAAAATACTAGGATAAATATTACTGTTTTATCAGTTTGTAATGTTTTTGATCAGTTTTTAATGTCGCAACAATTTAGACATATTTTACAAATTTGATGTTGGATCAAAATACAACTTTTTGTTGTACTAATATAATGTATTGCATTATACTAGTAATTAGGATTGAAAGATTGATGTGGCATTATTTGAAATATACTATAGTGCTGGTTTTCTTTTTCCTGGGTTCTGCTTGGCTGCCCAAATAGCTGCTTTTTGAATGATAAGGTGATAATGTTCTGGGAAGTAGGGGTGTAAGTGCTCATAGCATGACAAAGGGAGCTACTGATACAATTGCTGATCTCTGGAATGTGTGAATCTTTTGTGTTGGCATATCTAAAATTAATTTGCATTGCAATTACCTGGCCTGGAAACTAATCTGCTATTGTAACTTTCAGAATGCCTGAAACCAGGAAAAGCCACGTCAGGTACTGTGTCCAGGAAGCTATTGAAGCCATCCAGAATGGAGACAGTGACTTGGAAATGTCATTTGAATCAGATTCAAGTGATGAAGAGGAGAATGAAGTTATCTGTGAAGTGGACAAGGAAAATAAATTACCCAATGGCCAACTAACTTCTGATGTTCACATCATCCCAACAGAAGCAGGGCATTCTGATTCCCAGACCATGCGCCGTGACAGGTATCGCTGGCTGAAAAAGGATTTCATCGGTCCCAGTACTGATTTTTCTGGTCAGGATGCCACTAATAGTGTCCAATCCCTCTGCGGACCACTGGAGTACTTTCAGAAGTTTGTGACAGAGGACATGATCAAGGCTCTGACAGATAACACTAATCAGTACAGTGTTCAGAAGAAAGGATCATCTATGCACACCAACACAAAGGAAATAGAGCAGATGATTGGCATGTATCTGAAGATGGGTCTTGTCCAAATGCCTGGAATTCGCATGTACTGGGAAGCAGACACACGATACAGTCCAATCTCAGATGTAATGTCACGAAACAGATTCCAGTCTCTGTTGACATCACTACATTTTGTGAACAATCTAACTGTGTCTGAGAAGGAACAAAATGCTGACAAACTCTGGAAACTCAGACCATGGCTTGATGCTTTCAGAGAGAAATGCCTAAAGGTGGTCCCTGAAGAACATAACTCTGTTGATGAAATGATGATCCCTTTCAGGGGGAAATTCAGCAGCATCAAACAGTACATGCGTGGCAAGCCAAACCCATGGGGCTTCAAATACAAGTTACCACTGAAGTCCTGCCGCTGGTACCTTTATATCTTCTGGCACTCCATTATCCTAGCTGTGATCAATGCTTGGCTCCTGTACAAAAGGGACTGCAATGCCTTGCATATTCCAAAGAAACAGGTGCTAAACAGGAGACGGTTTCAGGCCCAGTTGGCATCATCTCTTCTCCTGATTGGCACAGGTGTATCAGTGCCAAAGCGAGGGCGACCATCTTCAAGCCCAGTGTCATTGAGGGGGAGCACGTTGACTTCCCACAACAGGCTGTTCACAGATGAAGGTTCTCCAGCTGCCAAAATGCCCCAAAAGTCAAATGCACACCCTCCAAAGGAAGTTCGCAAGGACATGATCGGGCATT